ACCATATATACCTATATATGTAATATATATGTATATGAGYAATATATTATTATATATTATGTAATATATATTATGTATATGTAATAATATTTGGCCTTAAAAGGGTAGGGAATTTTGACAAATGCTACAACATGACATCATGCTCAGTGAAATAAGGCAGACACAAAAAGACAAATATTGTGTGATTCACTTGGATGAAGTACCTAGATTAGCAATTTAATAGAGAAGGGACAGGATCATGTAGAGTTACTATTTAATGTTAGAGTTTCAGTTTTGCAAGATGAAGAGAGTTTTTGTGATAGTTACACAACCACAAGAATTAACTAATGCCACCTAACCACATACTTTAAAATGGTTAACCCAATCAATTTTATGTTACTATTTTACCACAATAAAAAGTGAACAGGCAAGATTAATTTTAATAATATTTTATCCTAATATACTCAAAATATTATCAGTTCAACATATAATCAATATTTTAAATTATTGAGATGTTTTACCTTCTTTTTATTACACGACCTTTTACATTTTGTGCATATTTTACACAAGGCACATCCCAATGTGAATCTACCATGTGTCAAGTGCTCAACAGCCATGTTTGGCTGGTGGCTACCACACTGGATGGTATTGACATTCACCTTAGTCTGAAAACATCTCCATCATATCTGTAAAGACTCACATTTCCACGGCCACACTTGAGGCTCTTCTGCAGCGTCTCTGTACACCTTCCACATCACCTGCATTCAAACCCGCCTACAGTCATAGGCCAACGCCTAGATCTCATCCCCAGACATCATCAGAGAAAGAACCAGCTCTGGAGTGCCCACCGGCTTCAAACTGGATTTGACCTGCAAATCTCCCCTCTCCTTTGCATAAATATAGATCTCATTTGTGCATCAAACTAAAGCATCTCAGATAGTCATCTCAAAGTCAGGGAGGCGTGGGATTGGGAAGGAGGTCCCCGGGCATCCTTCCTCCTGCTTCCCCTGGGGCTCTTCCTCCTCCTCCTCCGCTTCCTCATCGCTGCTCTCCTCCTCCTCCTCTTCCAGGATGGCCACCAGATCCTCCTGCAGTGCCCCCATCTCTAGCCCCAGGCTGCACAGCTGGCCCAGCAGCTGGATATCCACACGGCGCAGCTTTCCCTGCGGGCAGGAAGGGGTGTCAGGGGCATGCCACACCAGAGGGCAAGGGGTCCCACCAGGACTAGGGTGGGAGCAGGTCTCAGGTCCAGTCCTGGCCCACAGCACCTGGACAGGTCCTCACTGTGCTCCTGGGTGCCATCCTGCCTGTCCTCCTGTCTCTTGATCTCAGTCTCTCTTTCCATTTCTGTCTCTCTTGTCTGTTTCCACTTTTCTGCCCATCTCTGTGTCTCTCCATGTCCGGGTCTCTCCCTGTCTGTATCTATTTCTGTTGCCCATGTCTGTACTCCTGCTGTGGCTCTCTCCACCCCTCATATTCAGATCCAGTCTGCCTCTCTGTTCCAGGATCTCTGATTTGCACCTGCCTCTCTGTCTCTTTCTCCATTCCCTTCGCAATGTCTCTGCTTCTCCCTCCACCTCTGCCTCCAGTTCTCATTCCTGTCTCCCAGCTCCTGTCTCCCAGCCTCTGGCCCTTTCTACTTCACCACCGTCACTCACTCACTTATTCACTCTCTCTCTCCATCTCTTGTCCCTCAAATCCATCCTCACTCACCAGTTCCTCCCAGATCCACAGCAGACTCTCCTTGGCACCTCCAGGTTCCTCCCCTGGGGACAGAAGGGTCTGTCCAGGGCTCCCCTCTGGGGGGGGTCCCCTCAGGGCCTGGGGTGGTGGGCCCAGCCCAGGGGGCTCCAGTCCCGCCTGCTTCAGCTGCATCCACAGCTCCATAGTCTAATCAGTGGCTGCTAGGAGGAGGAAGTAGCAAGGTTCAGGGTGACTCAGTGTCCTGGGGAGTCATGGGGTTGGGGGAGGAAAGGGCAGTGTGGGGGGTGCTGGCAGAGGCATCCCAAAGTCCATTCTTCAGTGAGAATCAGCTGGCTGTGGAGTTTTTTCCTCCCTCCTGAATTCCTACCTCAGCTCTCACATGGTCCAGCCACAGCCTCTCTGGGAGATCAAACTCCACCTTCCTGCCTCTTCTCAGACCAGACTACCCACAGGTGCTGGGTGTCTGTGGATACTGTCTGTCCTGCCTCTCCTGCATCCTCCCACCTCTCCAGTCCCTCCTTCTCAGCCTTTTCCTAAATTACATCACCTGACCTCTTGTGTGCCCACAGATTGGTGGTCTTTACCTGTCCCCTGGCTCTCGCCATCCCAGGGCTTGCCTAAGGGTCCCTTAGTGTCCAGACTGCTATCCATAACAGAGTGGCCAATGTTGCTGGCCCTGGACTTGCCTGCATCAGGGTGGCCTTGCTGTGGAAAAGACTAGGGAGTTCTACAGGCCTCCCTCTGCCTCTCTTTCAAACCCAAAGTTTTATAAAATTCCACTGAGAAGTCAATTGTTCCCAAGTCCCTGACTCAGTCCCGACCTCCTTCCTGAGCTCAGACCCCACTCAGCAGCTCCATAAGGATGTCAGACATCTCAAGGTCAACATGGCCAGAACAGAACTCTCAAATGTGAACTACCAGACAAGATTGATTTCCTGTTGACACTGTGAAAAATTATCACAATCTTGGTGGCTCAAAACAACAGTTATGGGCTGGGGTTGTGGCTCAGCAGTAGAGCGCTTGCCTAGCATGTGTGAGGCCCTAGGTTCGATCCTCAGCACCATGTACAAATAAATAAAAAATAAGGGTGTTGTGTCCACCTACAACTAAAACATATATATTTTTAAAAAAACAGTTATTATCTTACTGTTCTGGAGATCAGAAATCTAAAGTGACTGGTGCATAGGGCTGGTTCTCTCTAGAGGGTCCAGGGGARAGTCCACTCCCAAGTCTTTTCCAGCTTCCAGAAGCCACGGCCTTCCTTGGCTCACAGCCCCTTCTTCCTTCACTCTAACCTTTGCCTCCATCATCCTGTCTCCTACTGACTCTGATCTTCCAACCTGCCCAGTGGAATCTTGTGGGTATATTGGTCCCACTGATTATTCGTAAAATCTCCCCTTCTCAAGATTCTACTTCACTTAGGGCTGGGGTTGTGGCTCAGTGGTAGAGCACTTGCCTAGCACTGGGTTCAATCCTAACACCACAAAAAATAAATAAATAAATAAATAAATAAATAAAATAAAAGTATTGTGTTCTTCTACAACTAAAACAAAAATAAAAAAAGATTCTACTTTACATCTGCAAAGTCCCATATAAAGAGCTACTGTCACAGGTTCAAGGATCACAAAACATAAATATCTTGGAGGTGGGAGCATTATTCAGCTTATCATCTCCACCTTCCCCAATCTGCTGCTTCTCTAGTTTCCTCATCTCCATAAGGGACACCCCAATCTTCTTAGTTTCTCAGGCTGTTGGCATGACCTTCAAATAGATTCAAAATCTGAGCCTTTCTCACTATCATCACTGCCTAGACTATTGCAATAGCCTCTTTGCTCGTTCCTCAACCTATTATATCCGATTTCCACCTGGCAGAAATGATCTTTACAAAACGTAAATAAGATTTTTTTTTCATTTTTTTTAAAGATTCATTTTTTTTT